GCAACGTGCGCCGCGCGCTATTCCCCCAAAGCAGACTGGACGAAACCAGTCTAAGGATATTCCAGCGAGAGAGCATGTTTTGTTTGTCAACGTATCATGTAGTCCTGCAGACTCATTCTTCATATCAGCGAGTAAAGTAAGCGTTACCTGTCATGCACAGTTTTATACTAAAACATATTTTTAACAGTCGGTCTGCCCTATTGATCGAAGGCAGTCCTATTCGGATGATAAGAAATTGTAGGGTGCACTTCTCTTTACATTTCTATTTTAAGGGTGGCTGCAAGTTCGCAACGAAAGACCAGAGGCAGTTGGAAGATAATTTTGAGGAGCGCGTACTAAAGCGCAGCTCACGTGCGCTAGCTGCATGTAACTACACCTGGACTCCGCTCAAACGGCCTGAAATAACCGATACTGGTAAGCTTACCTATTTCCCCGGTTTTCGTCCATATGCTAGGCCAATAATCATTGACCTACGAAAACATCTATTTTATCTTGCTTCTCAGCCTTCAGTGTCATTTTTCTACTCGGACTTGTGTTCCTCCCATAAGTTTACTTTCTTTTTTGTCGACCTCGTAATGGGTTCACTCCCAGATCCAAGCCCAGGTAGCAACCACCGCTGTTCATGCCGCGCTTTATGTTTGCTGAATGGAAGAGCTTAGATCTGCTGTTTCGTTCTCCGCACCACTGAGATCTTCCATACTCCTTAATTCTCTGTTCAGACTAGCAAATAGGAAGCCTTGCAGTCAGGCTAGATTATGCGCACTCAATTGAGATACACATCAACTGTAACACAAGACACTGATTTAGAGGTTAAGGGATTCAACTCTAACACATATCCTGGCTCATACTTTCTAAATTCCATGCTCAGCATGGAGAGAATCATTGTCCTGTAAATACCGCCGCAGGTGGCGTCTACTATTGTAGTTCGAGTTGCAATCTAATGCGCCCTATAACTTTCCTTATGCATACGCCGTTTTTAGGTTCACATAAGAACAAAGAGTAACCGCGTTTCTTTTCTAGAACCGGATGCTCGCGTGAACTCGTTCTCAAAACATAGCCGGAAACGAGCAGCCTCTCGCAGAAACACTGAGAAAATAAATCGAGTGGCCTCAAATTCTGCCAGTCAATCACTTCATGTGGAGGACACCAGCGAATGTGTTGAAAAGAGTCCAAAGAACCCCGACTCTGTCGATGTACGTTTATTATTTTTTGAAAATGCACTTAACAAGGGTGGAGTGGGAGAAGTATTTGTTAAAAAAAGTGCATTTTTGCCGAATGGGGTGTAAACAAATGGCCTCATGGGCTAAGGAGATCGAAACCATCCTCGCCCTTCGCGTACCAATTAATGTTCATCCATTCCCTCCGTAATTCGTAATAACCACTCCCTACTGTCACAATCTGTGGTGCTCCCTCCACTTTACTAGGTATCCGTGTGTTGGGTTTAGTGGCAAATTGCGGAATCGCGCATTACGACTAATTTGCAGGTAGATGATGTCTTCCGAAGGTACTTCTTCGCCGGGTACAAGAAATTTAAAAGAGCATAATTTTATACCAACTTAGCACAAGCCTCACCGTTTTGTGTCTGTCTTCTGTCAAGCATACTTGGGATTATAAGGGCGTCAAAAATCAATTAGCAACATGCATACTACTTAAGTTGTAATTCTTCACAATTCAGCTATTGTCGGCAGCCGAGAAGAACCTCATTCAGGAGTCGACATCCTTGTGTTATACGTCAATTATTATTACAATCCTAATTAAGTGATCTTTTACCATCGAAAAAATTCCAAAACTTCGATTAACATCTCATGAGGTAGCACATACTGCAACTTTAAAAAATAAGCTACGAACTACTCACTGATGCTCAAATACCGTTAATTTTCAGTTCATGTCAGAGGGTTTGCATATTTGTTGTTTTTAAGCAGCGTCAACCGACTTTTGCAACCAATGTATGAAAATATCACATGCACTGATAAACTGCATGGAAAGTACATCCACATGCAGACTACGTAGTCATTCCGAATATCTGATTGCCAGAACCAATTAGTGCACCTGCAATCCAATCTATACTTTTATCTTTTAAACTGCCTTGTCGGTCTGTCACGGATCAACATTTTGCGAGGAGTTGTTGACGGACTAATAATAAGTTGTATTTATAATAGTGCTTCTTTCCTCGTCTCTTCTTGCTGTACATTTATGTGGCCTCCGTTTATGTGAGTCCGCTACTGATGCATTAACTGATTTGAGACTTTCTATAACACCCATCATCTTCACCCAATTGTCCACAGTCGCCGGACATTGAAGCCCTCTCGCCGGATGATCTCATGGAGCTGATTACAAATAACGTCAACGAAAGCAGTTCCCGCTCCCTCGGGCCATCCCTTCTTCCTGATGCAGCGGAGCGTGGCCTCCGCCAACAGATGGAGGTTGCTCATAAGCTCGCTAACCCTCTTCGCCTGCATCCAGATATCTGGCACAATGAAGAGGGCGAGCATAACAACGGTCCTGCCTGCTCCTGCAAACCCAAGTATCGAATCGGTCCCCTGCATAAGCAATATGAGGGGGAAGAGGTGAGATAAAAAACCGAAAGCCACCACCACGGCCCAAAGCCACCATTCTAGTCTGTTCACCGCATACTTCTTAAATAGTTCGTCGATATTTCAGAGCGATTCACAGATTTAATATATGTAAACTCCTGGAACTCATCACAGTAGGCCTATACCTCCAAACAAGAGTAGTTTTGTTGTTCACTTGTCCGATTAGTTGGATTTTTTCAGTCCTCTGCCTGTTACAAGTTTTGTTTTACACGTCAACCTTCAGTTTTGCTTCCAGCATGGTTGATCATCTCACAGGCAACGGTTTTCTGCAACTCTGTTCCCATTTCCTTTCTGCTGAGACTGTAACCAGGCCTTTATGTAGACACAACCGTGCGTTTTTAATCAAAGGCCTCTTAACCCATGGCTTGATTGCGCTGTAGATAAGTTATCCGGCAGTTTGTCTGAAAGAGCCAACATAAACACTCTTTAACTGATTCTGGGCATCCGCGTGGGTGAGGTACGTCACGTTACCTAGAGCACGTAAACTTTGCCCGAGTCGCCGAGCACTTGCTTTTCAAACTCCTCAGACTTCGGCTTCTTCGAGACGTCAGTTAGACTGTATGTTGCAGGGCAAACTTGAGGACCTCACTCAGATGCCTTAAAACCGGTCAAGACATCCGAAAGACCTCTGCGTAGGATTGTTAAAAAGACGGCCCGTCGTAGAGATGGGGGCTACCATCTCGAAAACTGACCAAACGTCCCATTTTACCCGCCATCTACGCAAGACTAAAGTACTGTGGACTAACACCACCAACGTCTAAGATTTCTGTCAACTTGCTTCCAATGCCCGGATTGGCCTTCTTGGACACCTTTAGATCCACTACAATGTTGATACGACAACCCCTCTATCATCACTGAAGATATAATATTCATATGTCCTAGCTGAGGTCGCGTTTTGCCCTGGTTTAGTACTTTCCACGCCACGTCAATGCGCACGCCACTGTGACGCCCGACAATCTCCAACCCTCTTTGTTACTTCTACACTATATTACAGATGGGACCCTTCCCAATAACGAGTGAAATACGCTGATTCATCTGAGCAGATGGCGTCTGCATCTGATGTGGGTCGTATTGCCTAAAACGTAGGATGTAGCAATTGCAAAATGTGGGGTCCTGTTTGCCGCAAACTTAATGCTGAACCTGTTCCTTCTGCCATACGACAGATTTGGTTGCCTATCGTACATCACTATCCTATTCTGCCACTTGCAAATTTATCGCGGTCTGACTGAAAATCGGGGCCATGGGTCCCAACCAATAGTCGTCGGGTCTGTTCTACCTGCTCACATTTCGCTATCGCATGGGCCAGTGCGGCCTCATGCGCATTCGCGGAACTTCTCACTAAAACACCGTTTACCACAAGTACAACAGTCAGGTTATGGAGTTAATGACGGGTGGTTTATAAAACATTTTTATGTTTTCGTTAGACTGAAGGCTTATTCTACGCTAGCCATTACATGCAGTCCCATTTTCCAACCGGCTTGATTAGGAAAGACCACTGTCATATGGAGAGGGCAAAAGTCAGTGACGTCTACCTCCCTCCGATCATGCACTTATTTTACCAACTGTGAACAAATAACCGCGCATCGAAACTGTTATCACGCCCTAGTGATCCCTGCTCGAAAGGTTTCCAATTTGCGCAATAACTCAGGGCTGAGTGCAGGCTACAATGACTCCCTGATGTGATCTTTACGGTGCTCCTACTTGCCCGGAATCCGAGACCCCACCGTCGAAGAGTAAATTTTGCGGGAATAGTGGACAGGACGTGTGCGTTCCATGTAGGCGTCACTGAGCCTCGTCCATAACATTTGGAGTGTTTTCCTATTGAATTATGGTGGTTATGGTAAGATACTGTGAAAAGCTTCCTCTCGCATAAGTGATAACTGCTCCCGCAAGATGGTGGTGGTTTTTAACGCCTTTGACGGACCAAAATACTGTTTTAGTCTATTTTATGTAATGTAAGACTCCCTCGTAGTTGCCGGTATGAAGTGGCAACTATGAGGAATCTCATATTAACCCTCGGCATTATGAATGGCCTGGATTGTTTTTTGGTCTCAGTGATCTTTTTCAATCAGGCTAACACGCCTACTTTGCGCGGTCGTCCCCTAAAATTACGCATGAGCAAAACAAGCATCGATGGATGCAAGTTTTTTTATCAGTAACAGAGTGGTTGCAACGTGGCACTTTCTGCCCGCGGATGTTTTTCCTTCCACCTGTATACATTTATTTAAGTGCAACTTTTAAACGCATCAGGTCCATCATTTACCCTTACACGCTTACCTACATAAGCAGATAATTTACACGTAATTATACTACTCCTTATACGCAAGTAGTCGTTTATGGTTGCTCTTTTCGACTAGCTTACGACTGTTCGTTTTTCAGTCCCATCTCCGGTCTTCTCGACTTTTGTCTTGACACCGAGTACAAGTGTGTGAATGGTGAGAGAGTGGGGTAGATCCTGCGAGTCTTCTTTCATCATAATCCAGTTTGTGTCACCGAGTTCGCCTTCAGCCTGCTGAAGCTCGCGGTGGCCATCCTCGAAAACGACGGTCGAACTGTCATGTGAACCAACTCTGAATTTTTATTACCAGTGGATGCTTTTGCTTAGCTACTTTGTGATTACTAGGCAGTTCAGAAGCACTCGTCTATCTTCCCTTGAGCTGAACTAAAAGTAAATCGAATTTAGTGTAATCCGGACTTTTCTTAATCTATCTACTGTGCGTTACAGCGTAGGAGTATTTGGAATGAATAAACTAACCTGTCTACACTAGTTTTTGAGTCGTTGCCAACGTCAACCTTTCAAGTCTTTTCCTCGCTGCGATCTTTTCATCCATTTAAGTTTTCTTGACGTTTTTCCCTCCTTACAGGCCATATCACTTTGTGACCCCGAGTCAAACAACCATGACCGTCTCTTCCATTACCGCGTAATGGTGAACCCAACAACCAACTTCTTCAATCTGAAACCAACGACTATTCATCATGCTGGCCATGCTTATCTTTTTGATGGGTTTTCAATCTTCCTTCACTCACCCTTGGAGCAGGTAATCTATCTACTGACTGTCCCGCTTACTTTAAGTCGTGTTCTACATGGCTTGTCACTTATAATGGGTCGTTTCAAAACTCCACTTGCAGATGTTTTTGTTTTTGTCCTTTTTGGTTTCAGCTACCTCCATGCCAACTTCTCAGGTTCAACTTGCTCTATGATTTCGTCGCTGTTGAGGAGGAATTTCCACAAGTAAGTTCAAATGTCTCAATTAGGTGCTCTAAAGTTGTTTCATTTTCAACAGCCTCTTGTGATAGCGTTTCCTAAGCTATGACGGACTGTAGTGTTGTAGTTCAGATTGCCAATTATTTACGGCCAAATAGAGGCTGCCTTCCTTCGACTCGAAGCTTTTGTATTGTCACGCTATTTTAAGGTAATTTTGTTTGTTTGAAACGTTTCCTTGCAGAACTTCACGGTTCGGTCTCTCGACATGTTGACTGATTACATTTTCCGCGACCTCCTTGAACTCTTGGACCTCAATTGGAGGCCCGCTGGTGTGACCACGGGTTGCCCCGTCGTCCACCTCCTCCCGCGGTTTGTACGGATAGTGCAGACGACTACAGCCGGACCAACTGCGGAACTGCTGTCAGTGAACGTTATTCTTGAGCACTGGATGCGACAAACCGAACTGCCTGTGATCGATGCTCTCGAGTTGGCTGCCATCCAGAAGATGTCTGATGCA